AGGCCTCCACGATAAGCACTTATCGAAAATAACCCCAAGGTTCCTAACGGTGGCACTGAGTGGGATTTGAACGCTATCAAACGTGATAGGTGCCAATAAGGAAGGATTAATACGCGTTAGGAACCAGGGGCTACCAATGATTATACATTGTGTTTTGGAAGGGTTGACACTGAGACCAAATGATTGACTCCAGGTGAGAATCCTCTCAAGATCTATATTCGTAGCACAAATTGCGTCACGTAAGTTGGTTAGAGGGGCCTGTGTATATATTGGGAGATCATCTGCATAGAGATGGTAAGAAGAAGAAAGTGAAGAAGTGATGGAGTTAATAAAAATAGAAAATAGAAGAGGGGATAATACGCCGCCCTGCGGTACACCAGCAACAACATTACACCACGAAGAGAATGAATCCTCGCAACGAATGCGCTGCCGCCGCCCATACAGGTAACTGCGGAACCAGCCAGTCACTGCCGGAGAAATGCCAAGAGAATCAAACAGCGCAAGCAACAAGTCGAAATCAACGGTGTTGAAGGCACTGCTAAAGTCCAACAGAGTAAGGACGATGAGTTGATGATTCTCCATTCCCAGTCGAATGTCATCAGAGATTTTGACAAGAGCAGTGGTCGTACTATGTCCAGAGCGGAAACCGGATTGTAAAGGATTAAAAAGATTGTGATGAGTAAGGAAAAGGGGTGACGAGTAAGGAAAAGGGTATATAGGTTATTTTATTAGGAGATATAGGTTATCAAATCGTTGACCTTCTAAATATTTTCCACCTTTCATAATTTTTACATTTTTCTCATTAAAGTTGACATTGTACCCCTTCTTAGTTATCTCGTTTACAGACAATGATGCAAATGTTTGTCCGTAATACATTGTATAATCGTGGATTTTGCAATTGCGTTGCATTTTACTGAATCGGTATCCGCTTTAATTTCTGCATGATTTTTGTCCTAAACATGCAGAGCTTGCTTTTCCTCCAATATGGCGCGTACTCAAAATTTCCTATATAATTATCTATCTAATTTACTACATAATTATCACCACGTAACTGTGGGAGATGATTTATATTCGCCTGAGCACTCATCTTCTGCCCATAATCATTGTTGGGAGCTCTTCTATAAATGAAATAAATCTTTTCGTACAATAAGTATTTTATTATTAGTTTAAATAAATAACGCCATTTTGTCCACGTGTCAATAAAAAGGACAACGTATTTTTCAAAGCGTAAAGGCAGAGACAATTTTATACTCAACACTGTATACGTTTTTACAATAAGATTCCGAAGAATATATTAAGATTATCATTTCCTAAGTTTAAAACTTACATTAAAAGTATTTTAATTGAAAAGTCATATTACAAAATTGAAGTCTGTTTTAGATAAACAAGTATGGAAAGACAGCCAAAGTCTACATTCCACACAATTATGATTCAAAGTGTATTCCATAGCATTTAAGTTTATTTGAAAAGAGCAAACCCTAGAGTTTCTTGCTCGTTCACATATACACATATACACGCTTGGACACAATATCACCTGATGTTAAGCGAGTTTCAAGTGTGAAAATTTTACCTATGGAATAAATGATTATTTGACTTTGACTTTGTTTTATTGTTTGTCCACTATTTTTTTTTTACCTGGAGTATACTACAGCATTCCGTCCTTAGAGGATGGATAAAAAATTAAAGATTCGGTCGAAGAGATTCATCTAAAAATAAAAACCTTGCAACTACCTAAACGTTACGGTTTTTGATCAATATTAACTGACAACATTAATCGAAACTGACACCGGCCCAAGCCTAGTTAAGGAAAGTCATTAAGGAAATAATAGTAATAATAGAAACTTTTCTTCCTGTTTATTTACTTTTCTTACTGTTTGTCATTTTTAGTCAAAAATTAAAGAGGCAAAACTATGAATCAGCATATGATCAGCACGAATAATTATCGGATTTATAACGGATAATTATCAAAAAAAAAAAGTGACTCGTTATATCTTACTAGTCAGATTTTATTATGATATCTTGAAGTGACTGCTATGTAGAATAAAATTTAATTCGGAATCTGAATTGAAAAAGAAACGTGTTCTCATACATTTGGTAAAAGTGGAGCAGCCTGTGATAATCTGTGGGCAGGTTCGGATGCACCTGAGTATTTCACGCCGCGACTGGCTGGCGCCGAGAGCCGAGCGGCGAAGGCGAAAGACGTCGTGCGGTTAGTCCGTGTCTGACCCCACACTGGTTTCTTCTTTACCAATTAAGTGCTAGAAGTGACATAATTTAACATTAAGAAAAAATCGAATTTAAAGTAAAAAATTTTTTTTTCAAGTTTTTTATGTTCGAATTAACCTATAAATGTATTCAAGGCAACATCAAATAAACCTTATTTAAAATAACTTACGATATCTAATCAATCAAATCGTGTTAATCGACAAGTACAATAATAACTACCACGCACTTTTCATTAGTGATAATCCATGCAATATTACAACACTTCGTGAGGATTTATGGTGTTTGTATAAACTAACACCTCGACTCAACGACCAATTTAGTGGCTAATGTATTGCACAAAAATAAATTAAAAAATTGAACCTATAACATGAGTCAAATCCAGTAATACATAGAGCATAGACTCTACTAGTGATGTCGTAGCTGTAATGTTATTAGCGCATTCCAATCTGAACCTTCATAGTCGCCGTTATTGGTTAAGATCTAGGTACAAGCACATAAAAGAACTCTTTAATGTGTTATTTTCTGTTGGACACGTACAATTTGTCAAAGTACTTTTTATAAATTTGAGCAAAGCTCTTGAAACTCTAATTAAAAAAGGAAAGAGATTTGTAACCTTATTAAACGTTACAATTTGCAATTTTAAAAAGCTTTAATAACTCAATTTGTAACTGATGGTATATGGATTTATTCATTTATTATAAAAACTTTATTATATATACATACTTAAGGAGTGAAAGATTTTATTTCAGTAAGTATTTCGTAGTAGAGACCACGCAAATACAAATCGGTTACTCGTATCGTAATCCTAAATATCAGTTACCACTTACAAGGCCAGGTGCAAAAGCAAGAAATGATATATAGGTACCTCATATGCTTATTAATTTTATTGGAAAAAAAACTGTTTATAAAAGTGAAATGAAATTCATGAATGAATTAAATATTCTTTATCGCACATAAAAAATTACAAGACTAATGTAATATAACCTAATGTGACAGGTGACTTTATCGCTAAGTAGCAGTCTTAAGGCAACCATAGAAATTTAGGAGTTGCAAAGAGGGTGCAAGCCATGTGCAAGCAAAGAATATATAATGCATAATACATACCTACAAATAATGCACTCAATATGTTTTAAATAATACCTAATTCATTATCATCGACTTTTTAGACACTTGTTACACACACACTCTCATACGCAAACACCGTCATATAAAAAAACAATACAATGCATTTATTTCAGGGAAATAATAAAGGTTCCGAGAAACAAACGAAATTGCAGCGAACTGTGGCTAACATTACATGTGGATAGCATTACACCAAGCTGCGTTAAAATGAATTAATTACTTTTACCTACTGAAAAATAAACACAGAATATACCGACAAAATTAATCATATTTAGCAAACTATCAAGAACTAAAATTTTTATTGAATTGATATTCAATTATTTTTTGTGAAATTACTCTACTACTTCGTTGTAATTATTAATATAAAGATCGAACACTTAGAAAAAATTATAACATATTAATAATTATAACAAACCAGTGGAGTAATTTCACAAAAAATAATTGAATACCGATTCAATACAAATTTAAGTCATTTATTAAATATTAAATTAATAGCGACATCACTAGCCAGGGCTGGTAGCTGTAAAGGTGACGAAAAGCATTCATATATTTCTCATCGATGGCGCTACGTCTAAAAAGTTGTTGAAAACCAAAATAGGATTTTTTTCTAAGTGTTCGATCTTTGTATTAATAAAAAAACGTGTTCAAATCACAATTCTAGGAAAAAAACTGTATTTCCGAATAATATTCTAAACTTCCAAAATAAATACTGACTTACCGATGTATTTCCTACGTTTGCACAAATAATAATATTTCTGTATGGTATTAAAATAATAAAATTTATAAACATATAAGGCAACTTTTGAATTTATAATATTTACGATAAAAATGGCTAAAGTTTTCGGTAAAATATAAATTAATTTGGTAGAGTAAGATATTTCAGCAAGATATTTCATAATTCTCCGTATTTCATTCGGTTGTTTGCATATCTTTATTTGCACAATCGTTTCCGGTAGCTTAGTAAATAACGTGGTACTATTCAAAATTTGAATAGGTTCATTTTTAATATACTTTTCGGAGCTTTTATTACTACCCTTTATTTATTTTTACTAGTACTACCTTATGTTAAGACAATATTTTAATTTCCAAGTAATAATGTAAATTGTTGATTATCTTGTAAGTTTAGACTTCACAACCAAATTCAATACATTTTAACTGCATTTCTCTTAATTTATGAACCATGAGGCAGAATGATGTGTTAATAGTTAATGTAATACGGGCTCTGCGACAAAGAAAAATGTGAACTAACTAATAAATATTTATGCAATTCCCTACCTTAACATACCAGAAATTCATTAAATATTTCTAAATTATACTTTTATAATTGACTACTATTTTAATAGGCCTCAAAATCAGACTTAATGATATAGTTATACGCAGAGATTGGTCTGGGGAAAATATTAATATCTATGCTGCAATTCATGGTGTTATGCTCACTGTTTGTAAATTTACTGCCGATGGTAATCTTGAAACTGACCGATGTGTACGTTAGTTCGTTTTAAATATTGCGCCCAGTAGACTAATAGCAGCGACACTGTTAAATTGACCGCCATTTTGCTAAGCTATAGACCTATTGTTTCACATCACAGCAGTATGATACTAAACTTTATGTGTAATGTACTTTGTATTATTTATCATGTAGAGACTAATAAACGATTTATTATTTATTTAAACTACAATAAACGAAATGTTATGAAACTTCTATTGATTCTATTTCATTGAATTCCAGGTACTATAAGTACAATTCACATCTTAGTAATAGCAAATTCCTGAGGAACACTTATTACTACTGGTTATTTATTAAGTTATCGATAATTTTTTTCAAACAGCTCCATAAAAATGTTCATCCTTTCAAGGTAGATATCATGTTTAATGGTTAACTTATCATCAATAAGTAAACAAGCCATTCTTGTATTAGATGTAGGTTCCCACTTCGTTGTTAGCAATTTGTCATCTATTTCAGGTGTAGGGTCCCTAAAATCAAATTGATATTGTATTAGTCAGGTAAATTTTCCAATGATATCAGTAAATCCAAACATAGATAGAATCCAAAATGCCCAAAGAGTTAAGAGAAAAAATAGTCACCCATGTTTAGCGAAATTAGTCCACATTTCCACGAATCTGTCTCGTACTAACTTGTCGGTATCTGAGATATTCTCGGGTAATAATTTACTTTTTATAAGGTATCCTCCATCATCTCCATGACAAGCTCCTTTTCGGGTAATTCCCCATTTTGTCTTCAGGTAATTTAATTTCCCGTCGTAAGCAAATTCGTAAAAATATACTGGAGAATTGTTCTTTGCTATAAGCATAGTGGCAACATAAATACCTCCTAAGAAATCAACATCAGTAAAGAAATCTATCGCAAAGGAGTCATTTTCATTGTATTTATTTTCAGCTTTTAAGTAAATACTTTTCAATTTATCATTCATTTCCTTACTATGAGTATAATTTAAGTCAAAAGGAAGATGGGACACAAACTCCTTTTCTTTAACTAGTTGATCTAAAATAGCTGGTGCTAAATTTACTACCAAGAGGCCTTCTCGTGAACAAAAGCCTGCCATATAAGGAACTTTCGTAAATTCTCCTTTAGATAACAATTCATAACTGGATCTATCCAGAAACGGTTCCCAATCGCCCGGCTGTTCAATTGTTGGTACAAATCCAAAATGTATACCGCCACGGAATTTTTCGGCTGACAATGCCATCATAGAACATGTAATCAGTTTATTCGCAGACATGCTCTTCAAATGCTTAAGCATTTCTTCTTCGTCAGTTGTGTCTGCTCCACTTAAAAGTGCTACCTGAGAAGACAAATGCTTGACATTTTTGTTTTGAGCCCAATGTAAGAGAGAAGATCCCGACTGTGAAATAGCTTTGTGAAAAAGTCCTTTTGCCATAGGAGAAAGAACAAGGTATTCAACAGATGCTCCTCCAGCACTTATACCAAATATTGTAACATTATTGGGATCCCCATTAAATTGAATTATGTTTTGTCGAACCCATTTTAGTGCTAGAACTTGGTCTCGCAAGCCAATGTTGCCAGGAGCTTCTTTAAGGTTGAACGATAGAAAACCAAGGATTCCGAGTCTGTAGTTGAAGCTGACTAGGACTACATTGTTTTTGATGATGTTCTCTGGACCGTGAACTGAATCGTCGGTGCCACTGCCGAAGACAAATCCGCCTCCGTGGATGTAGACCATCACCGGTAGCAAATCCAAGTCATTTTTGGGTAATTGAGGAGTATAAACATTTAAGTACAAACAATCCTCATCACCTATTACTCCATTCGTTGCTTTGTCGAACTGTATACATATACTACAGTTTTTTGTGCCGTCACGGGTTTCTTCCCAAGGATCTGGTGGTTGTGGTACCTGCGCCAAAGAATAAGAAATTTTATTTTTCAACAATTTGTCTATACACAGTGACTAAAACAAGGCAATTGAATATTTCGACCCCTCCTACATAAAGTATCGTATGCCGAAATTGGCAAGTTTACAGGGGAGCGTTTTAAAGTTTTGAATTCGCTGAAATGAGCATAACATGTGACTTTATTTCTTAGCTTTATTCGGCAAAACTCACACAGAGTATTATAAAATCCTAGATGTCGGTTAGATGAACAACCACAATTTAATTTAGCATTTCTATGCTAAAGTCACGTGTTATACTCATTTGAGTGAATTTAAAACTTAACGCTCCCCTGTAAACTTGGCAATTTCGACATACGGTACTGTACGTAGAAGGAGTCGATTTATTAACCCACATGAACAGCAAACAGCCACCAACTTGCACACTGCCTACTGTTACAAAAGACACACTTAACAAATGTTTGAAACACCTAGTGAATAAGGCTCCCGCTACACAGCACAGGACATATATGACATATCAGTAAATGTACTTATAATTGCCTGGCCAGTCATATCAACTCTACTGGTACAACTCGTCAATGAGATGTTCTGCATGGGAGTGTATCCTAACGTGCTAAAGAGCACGCGTGTATGTCCTGTGTAGAAGGGCAAAGGTGAGATGAGCAGAGTTGATAATTATAGACCTGTAACTATTGTACCAAATGTTTCAAAGATATTGAGTAGATTATTTCCTCTCACCTAATGTCACATTTAGAATACAAAATCTTGTGGCAAACAACCAATATGCCTATCGTAAGTACCGGGCCACCACAGCGGCTGCACAGAGGGTGGTGGACTCAATAATTACGGGGTTGGATGGTAAGTGCAAAGTAGCAGGAATGATGTGTGACCTGTCAAAAGCGTTTGATGTAATCAGTCACAAATTACTCTTGGAGAAACTATGTCACTATGGTATGCGAAGCAAAACATACGATCTTCTGAAATCATTTTATCACACAGAATTCAGACAGTTGAAGTAATATCAGGTGCGGAAAAAAACTACGCAGTAGTGGAGGTGACGTGAACCTTGGAATTCTTCAAGGATCTTCACTAGGAAATGCCCACTTCCTGACATTTATTAATGACCTACCGTCCCATATCACTGATGGCTTATTCGTTTTGTTCGCTGATGATACCACTGTAATTGTGTGCGCCCGAACTTACGACGAACTCAATATAAAAGTAAGAAATGTCTATATGAGTCTGATGAAATGGTTCACTTCCAATGGTCTCATACTAAATGCTGCTAAATCTAGTTTAATATTGTTCTCTGGTAGATCAATCCCGAGGCCAACGTGTATAGATAGTCTAATTTCCATAACTGACCACAGTACGTTCTTAGGATTCATTCTGGATGAAAATTTAACGTGGAAGCGTCACATAAATTCTATGTGTGGTAGACTAAGTAGTGCGACTTCTGCACTAAAAAAATTAAAACCTGTCGTTACCGATTGCATACTACGACAAACATATTTCCACTCCATAATGTCGTATGGTACCATTCTATGGGGTGACTGACTCCACTGATTCTGACAGGGTATTTATTCATTATTCAAAAACCAGCAATGAGGATACTTGCCGGCGTAACACGAAGAGTCTCTTGTAGGCACTTATTTGTGAGACACAGGATAACGACCATATATTCGTTGTATTTATATGGAATAATCACATTCATGCGAAAAAAACTTACACAACTTTGAAAGGCATGAAAGCCGTTATAACACTCGCTGCATAGAACGACTGAGAGTCGTACCACGACGGTTAGCACTCACTGAAAAAAATCCGCGCGGAATCGGCCCGACTTATTATGAGCACCTACCCGTTGACTTAAAAAATGAGCCTAATGATGAAACATTTGATCGTCGACTGAAAGACTTTTTATTGGATAATGTGTATTATTCCACTGAAGAATATAGGGATATGGTCTTGTAATATATGTTGTAATTTATAGATTATTACGTATAAATATTATTTTACAGAAATGAACAAATTACATAAACTTAATGCATACAATCATTATATTGACATAATTATTATTATATTATTTAATATGTTCCTACATTATTTCACATAACTACATTAACTATGTTAAAATTACGAAGTACAAAACTTGTACTGGATATTTGTAATTTTTTGAAATGTAACATTTATTACTATTTGTAACGATTCTTGTAATACAATATATTGTATATAATAATGTAATGTTTATAAGATAATAAATAAACCTAAATCTAAATCTATTAATATGAGGCCAATTCTTTCGCACCAACTTGCTTAACAAATGTTCTTCAATACGACGTGTTAAATGAAGTTACATCATATTTAATTTATAAATTCACCATGTATTATAATATGTGTATTATATATAATAGGCGCCTTGACGTCGAGTTGAGGACACCAGCCCGTTACACCAAGTACCAAGTATATATTTTATGCATGTATGTGTATTACGTATTATATAACGTGATACAAGTATTATTTCTTTACATTAGAACATGACACATTCAACGGATATTGTTTATATATAAATATCGAGGAACGATTTTCCAAAGTACTCACCGCAAATCGTAATTCGCCGATCGGTGGTTTTGCATAAGGGATTCCTTTAAAGGCATAGTAATGTGTATTATTCGAAGCTACATTTATTTGCCCCGTTAACTTGCCTTGTTCTAATTGAATTATGGGGCTAGACATATTATACTTTTAACAAACAAATCACGACACTCACCAATCTAACCTCAAAAAAATTCCTTTAGTAAAACCTAGTATAGTATTGTATTATCTGTGGTAAAACATAAAACAAATTTCCAAGACAGCTGTCTACTACAAACTCAACGCAACGCACATGCAACTCAAATACTCTTTGCTAACTAGCGAACAACTGTGTTACGTACCACATAGTTCTGTACAAAGCACCTAGATGGCGCTTATTTAATATTGTGAGGCATGCTCTATTTCACTGTTACTAACTAGGTCGGAATTTTTTTGCTTAGTCAGCCTTAACGTAGCTCTACCTAAAGATTATTTTAGTCCTAACGTTGTAAGTGTAGTGTAACTAAAATAAATGTCGTTTGATTCTGTAAAAATAAATTTTATTAAATCCCGGTTATGAATATGAATGTCTTTAACGCAATTTGAATTATAGTGGATTGTAATCGCTATAACACATATACACTATCAAAAGAACGGAAGACACGATGAAGACACGCGATAATGAGATTACTTGATAGATCTTCGTTATAATGACAATGACATGGCCACATGGCTATGGACAATTGTGTAGATTTTTGCTACATTGCCATAACGTGAAGGTTGAAAAATAGAACGTTGTAATTTAGAGTGGTTAGGTATATTACAACTAATAATAACCTGCGATTGTAAAATGAACAAACGGACCTATTTTTTATATTAAGAAAATCAAATGTGTAGCCGATTCCTGTTTAACTACAAATACAACTAATGTATTTAATTTTCCACAGTCAGAATTTTTTTATTTCTTACAAATTTACTATTAATTTACTTACTAGTCATACATATAATAATATAATGAGCAGTATTTACTAACTTGAAGAACTTGCTTAATAATTGAAATCACTCCGAACGACGTTTCTCTCGGTAGAGTTGTTGATAGACCTCCATTCTTTCTCGGTAAACCTCTTTCTTTACGATCATTTTATCGCTTATAACGAGACACCGCATCTGGTCCTCAGTTACCGGATCCCATTTTATAGGGATCACCTTGTCAATCTTTGGAGTAGGGTTTCTGGAACAAAACGTAAAATTCAGAATCTTAACGTTACAATGGTGAATAATAGTTTACTTCATTCATCATTTGCTGTATTCATACACTTACCCACATTTAGCGAAATTTGTCCACATCGTAACCATGCTATCTAAGACCCATTTATCCATGGCTTGGTATGGAGGCTTGGGGAGCATATCATTTCTTAGAAGATAACCGATCTCATCGACATGACAAGCCCCTTCTCGTTTGATATTCAGTAAATACTTCACTGCATTCAAATTTCCATCATATGCAAATTCATAAAAATATACAGGACAACTATTTTTCTTTGCTATCAAGGATGTAGCTGTATACACCCCGCCGATGATGTCAACATCAGAAAAATATTCTATTGCAAAACATTCTGGATCTTTAAAATCTTGTTCACGTGCTAAATATATTTTCTTCAACTTCCTTTCTAATTCATCTGCTTCAGAATCAACAAATTGAAATGGGAGATTTGGTGTAAATTTTTTTTCTTTCACCACTTTGCTCAATATAGGTTCGCCAAGAGCTAGCGTTAAGAGGCCTTCTCGTGTGGCAAATCCAGTCATGAATGGAACTTGTGTAAATTCTCCTCGAGATAATAAGTCGTATGTTGGTTGGTCTAAAAACGGTTCCCAGTCTTTAGGTTTTTCTATTACAGGAACAAATCCAAAATGAATGCCACCTTTGAATTTTTCTTCAGCCAAAGCCATCATTGATAATTTTGCTAATTTTATGGTCGGTAAAGACTTCAAGTAGTGTAATAATTCATCATCTTTAATGGATTTTCCGTCAAGAAGAGGGATTTTAGCAGCTAATTGTTTCATTTTGGAGGTATGCGCCCAGTGACATAGAGAAGTCCCACTCTGAGCTATGGCCTTGTGAAACAATTCCTTAGCTGTTGGTGATAACATAATATACTCTACCGAAGCACCGCCAGCGCTAAGACCAAAAATGGTAACATTGTTAGGGTCTCCATTGAATTTATCGATGTTCTGTTTCACCCATTTGAGTGCTTGAACCTGATCTCTCAAACCCATATTTCCTGGAGCTTCTTTTAAATCCAATGCCAGAAAACCAAAAATGCCAAGTCGGTAATTTATGCTTACCATTACTACATCCTTTTCAATTAGATAATCTGGACCATTTGTATTCGTATCTGTACCGTGTCCACTAATAAATCCTCCGCCATGAATGTAAAACATGACTGGCAGCAATGGTGAACCTAATGAAGGCAATTTTGGAGTATATACGTTGAGATAGAGACAATCTTCTTGTCCAATGCAATTACCGCTATGTTGTTCGTATTGATGAGAGGGTGGACAATCCTCAGTAGCGTCTCTGACTTCATCCCATGGTTCTGGTGGATGAGGTATCTGTAATATATTGTTATTTGAGTCCCTAACAGTAATGCAGTAGCAAGAAACCCAATGCCCACTCTTGTTTGCCCTTGTGATTATAAAGTAATAAACTACTCTACTATCTTATCAATTTTATTATTATGATTGATTCTGATATTGATGATTTAATGCCGATTTTCCATACGGCAGCCTATCAGTAGTAGATATTATTATAGGTGGATTTCTATTTTTTTATATGTTAAAGCAGTCAGTTTTTTTCTTGGCCACATGCAAAAATGGTACTAACCTGAGCTTTAATACATTTCTCTTTGTACAGGTCACTTTGTACAAGTACGTAGTCATTTCTTATACCATAATTTAATTAGATAGTCGTGTAATAAAGCTAGTTTAGATTGACATTTTTATTTGGGCGTCTAGTCTAGCAAATAAGTCTAAATTAAATAAAAAACTTACTGAAAATCTCAATTCATTTTCAGGAGGTTTTGCGTAAGGAATCTTTTTGAAACTATAATACACAACATCGTTTATAGTCTTACACTTCGCTCCTTTTAATTTTCCCTCGTGAACTTTTATTATTGGATTCGGCATATTGTTAATGAGCCTGTCCCCAGTGCAACACGCACAGCAACACAACCGCCGCATGCCGATTCGTTCACCGCAATGATTAATTATCATTACTATCTTATTATTACTGTCATTGATTAGGTTGGCAGTAATTACGTTTCAACCAAGTAGTGCCTACACATAATATGCATAATATAAGTGTTTTTTCGCTGTACCTAATGTAGAAAACAACACGAGTTTTTGCAACGTGAGTTACAAAGTTTATACATGTGTGTATAGTGTATACTTAAATGCGTGAAGGTTTCTTCCCTATATCCCCTAAATGTAAAACCGAAAAACGAACAGACAGATAAATTTGTTAATATGTGGATTCACAATGACAAACAAGTTTCTTTTCTAGTTATTATAGAGGGTTTTTATTTTAAATGTCAGAATAAGTACATAGTTGAATTCTTGGAGAGAGGCATGATTCTCGCGAGTGCGGTGACCGGCGCAGGCACAGCCTCCGCCCGGATGAACACCTGTGCGCGACAAACAACCACCGCGCGTTTTTATGGGCTCTCTCGCGATCACGCCTCGGTGAGAACGCTTTAATCAAACTCAAAATTCTTGAGTTCACAAAATGCGGTAAACCATGCACATAAACTTTAATTAATACTTATAATTTGGATTATTTATATTTATAATCTGTCCGGAAATCCTTTCACGAATTTTCTTTCCCGCTCATATTTATATTAATCTGTTTGGTCTATCTATCAATTAAGAAACTATATTGCTGATAAATTAAAGTTTTACTATTTTTTTTATTAAATATGAGTGTAAATAACGACCTTTTGCTGTTTTAAGTGAAATAAATCCCCGATATTCTTTGTTTTAGCACATAATTAGGGCTGTTCAAACTGATTCAAATCCTGCACTGAGATAGCCGGATGCGCACCTGTGCCAGATTTCGTGAGAACGACTACGATTTCTACCAACCACCATTTACCCTCACGATAAACCTACTTTCACTTAAATAAAGCTCAACGCAAAGTGTATTGAATACACTTTTAATATGGTATTCACTTTTAAGGCGACACATTGATGTGCCATGTTTGTTGTGTTATTTTTGTACGCTTGGAACATCCGCGTGTGGCTATTATCGCAACTTTTTATTCAAGACATTGGCTTAGGTTTTGGTGACCATGTCGACAGTGATATCTATGCAGAGTACTTGAGTATTAAATTTCGCGTAGCAAAAATGAAACAATTCTCTGTAGGTATACGAGCATTAATAAAATTGAGTAAGTAATACAAGGGTTAACAAAAACAATAATATTGAAGCTTATTACAAGTTTACAAAATCTCTGCGATATTATAATGTTAATATATAATGGTAATAAGTACATTGTACAATTATATAATTAGACAATAGTTACTTCTACACTGAGAGAAATCGACCATGGTTTCTACTAATGACCATTTTCTCTCGTGATAAACGTTTTTTCACTCTAATGAAAATACTTATGCATTTATTATGGAAATAAAGAATTTAAAATTTATTTCTTAGTATTTTAAATATAATAAAGAAATTATGGTAGTCCTACAGCCACACACGTGAGCATTTTGCGAAATTCGGCTTCGCGTTTGGTCACGGCCGTGTGAACCCCCGCGCATTGATCTTTTTACAAATGTAAACACATAAAAAGCCTTTTAAAGACAGGTTTATATCCTTCGAATTCATTCACCTCATGAATTCCCACATTTCTGTGATTTTTTTGCAGATAGTGTTTATATGTATAAATCATTTATTTTTAACTTTAAATTGGATTGTCTTCAATTGAAATCATACATTTTAATTTACATTTACCCGATTTCTAATGTAACTTTTAGATACTTAACATTATATATGATATTGTTATGTTTTCAGTAATAAACACGCTTTAAAATTAAAAATAAAACTGGTCTTCTTATAGATCTCATTCACTATCATACATATCGTGGATCCGTAAGAAAATTTTTACAAATTGTACTAATTAGAGTGGAGAGAACCTTCTCTCCCTGTCACGAAAAAAATAAATAAACAATAATACTACAAGTACAGCCTCTAGGTAATAGGTACACCTAAAGTACATTTTGTGACGGTGTGACCTCCTTACATAGTCATCCTACTTTTTATCGCTTTTCTCCGGTTCCTGGACACTCGTATTTAAATTTAAATTTTGAATTGTCCATATTCTTTTGCCTCGCAATCTGATTTTGTTGCGTTCCACCGTCACTCCCTGCTCGATCGCGACAGCGTACGGAGCTGTTCAAATTCAATCGCGTCTAATTTTGATTCCTTTACTAAGTTTATAATCATTAGTAATCTAAATCATGTGCCAATCTTAATAAGTTTATAACCTCTACAACCTTTATCATGTACCTATGAATATGTATCTGTAATTCAGTATATCTCGGCTCTTTTTGGGTAAGTGTCTACTTAATATCTTATTCATCAAGTTAGGAAGTGTAGTGTTTTGTAATAATGTACCTGTTTTCTTTATATACCTTTTATTGTTACAGCCTTCTTGTTACCATTTCTTCTCTTTAACCGACTTTGAATAAATTTGTGGACCTGAAGTTTTCTGTTTTACTGCCGTGAACCTGGTCACGACTTGTTAGGGTTACAACCCTTTCAATTTTATGTTAATCTTCTACGTGAGCGACATTTAACCAATGAAATGGCTAACAAACGTCTTTATGCCACGTTGCATCACGCGTCGACGTCGCAGTCCATACCTACGTGTAAATAATAGTATCTTGTTATATTATGTAATTATGTTAGTCTATGAGGTATGTATTTATTCGTCTTTGTTACCTGAGTATAAATGAATAAATAAAAAGTACCAAATGATTTTGAACTCAAAGTCAATCCAAGTTCAATCTACAACTATCCGCACCGTGATCGCAAATATTTAATTTTTTTGGTATTAATGGCTTTGCCTTCGCATTTAGCCAATGGAAGGGTTGGGAAAGCATATTATGGAAGAGGTACGGAATTTGGATTTGATCTAAAAAAAATTTTGACACGTGAAAGTAGTGACACAACCGTTACAAGTAAACCCAAATTCTTAAATGCAGCAATAATTCCAAGAGCTCAGTTCGGACTGGTAAAAGTGTGCGTAGATTCTTTTTTAATATTTAGCTAATTAAACTGTTTATTAATAAAAACATCTAAAATATTTAAATAAAACAAAATTATTATAAATAACATTACAGCCACCTGCGCAAAAAACGAAAAGGATAAACAAGCTCTAAAATCCTGTTTGAGAAATTCATGAAATGTGTTTTGTTTTATATGTGAAATAATAAAATTTACGTCAAATATATTCAAAAACTATGAGCGAAAATAAGAAAACTTTGAAACTTGACTTAGTTATAGATCCTTTTCTTAAGAAGGACAATAATTGGGCAGTAGTGTAGTAGAGACTAACAAGCTCCGCAGCAGCACTTCCCAGCGAAGAATTGATTGTGTAGGTGGAGTCGGTTGTGTGAACACTGCGCGCGCGCAGGTGTGTCCGAGACTGGCCGGCGCCGGCGCACATTCCAGTGATGGTCACGACGCCGCGCCGCTTTACGTATATTTGGCGCGATCATTACAATACAATTCTCACAAAGCATCAAATTCAATTTCGGAAAGGGTTTTACTATCATAATATATTATAGTTTATTTTTTTGTTGAGAGCACTGAGCCTTAGAAATGGGCTTGCACATGTACAAGATGGTATGGGGGACCTAGAGACTCTTTTAAATGCCCCTAGCTTACTATAGACCGATATCTAAAAACATGCGGCGGTATGTCACCTGTGAATTTCGTAACATCTCAGCTCTACACGATCTACATAAAAAGTTACAGTTGATAAGCGCCATCTATCAAGTTTGTTGTGTTAGACGTGGAAGCATAAATATGAAGCAATTAGTATCTCTACTGACCACTAGATGACGCTATCAATCTATTAGTTATGCTAATGGATTACAGATGTTGCTGATAAAATATTTTCCTATGGCAACATTTTATATTTTAGTTGAATCTCGTGTTGGTCGTTGCTTGCTCTGCTTGTGCTGTCACCGGCATCTGAAATCCGAATATTCTAGAGAGATCGAAGTCACTCAAGTCGTTGCCACTTTCTTCATTTGTTTTCTAGAATTGTAACTATAAGCTTCACAAATAAAAATGACAAGCGCCATGAAGAAGCTTTTACCACTTCTCGACCGTGTGCTCATCAAAAGAGCAGAAGCAATTACAAAAACCGCGGGAGGCATAGTAATTCCTGAAAAAGCGCAAGGCAAAGTTCTCCATGGAGAAGTCATTGCAGTTGGACCCGGTACCCGGAAAGACAACGGTGATTTCATCCCTCTACTGGTGAAGGTCGGTGACCGAGTCCTTCTCCCAGAATTCGGTGGCACCAAAGTGAACCTAGAAGATAACGACGACAAAGAGTACCATCTCTTTAGAGAGGCCGACATTCTGGCGAAGATCGAGTAAAGCTCCAAGTGATATTTAGCTCTAATTTTGCGTGGTTCCGATATTTGGTTAGTCATTGAAACTGATAGTTGTAGTGAATGAACACTGAAATAATTGTGTAATACATTGGGCACTGATGTTTTGAATGTTATCTCTGTTGCATTTCTAATTATAATATTGTTATATGTATTTGTTTTATTAATCCTCATACTATTGAGTCCAAATTTTTTCTTAAGAAATTTCTTATAGGTTATGTCAAACATGTTTTTTGAGGTTATGTTGAGGCTTTTAAAATAATGGCTCAACTGTCCACCTTGTCTTTCAACCGTTTCCTTGTCTTGCAAGAAAGAAATCAAAGTGTAGTAGACTACGCCAAATTGTATCATTTAAATTAAAGCCTAACTGAACATAATGGCAAGGAAATTTAGTAGCTGTACAAAATAACTAAGGTAGCACCTGCCTGTACACATACAAAAGTATTATTTTACCTGATATTTTTAGGCTTATGTGCTCCTCCACTTAATTGCTACACTTGGTGCATTTTTTACAGAAATATAACTCCATAAAAAACAAGATTGTATAGTATCAAATAGGTATTTTATTTGGGAGTGCATGTATAATGATATACATATACACTTATATACATTGTTTTATTTATAAATATAATTTAAAGGACAGTATATTCAGTTGGGAACAAAAATATGCAGCTGCTAGCTTTTATGTTTAATACTGATCTGGTGTTATGGGTTCTTATATATACATATATCTTAACCTAACCTATACAATAACACTTTGAAGTCAGTAAAACCTATAACACAAACATTTCCATCATAAAAACCATTGTAAAAGTTTCCTGGGACTGTGTTCTTGCTCCCATGTGCAGTATATTGCATATTATATAGAATATAGATAGCTATTTTCTGATGTACTCTAGGCAGCAAAATTGTTAAAAATACACTTCATACCACATAATGCTGTACTATATACAGAATGCATAACCTTAATCAATTTTGAACTCTCCATCAATAAAAACTCATAGCAAGTTGCTTTTTTTTCACATTTTACAAAGGACTCTCATACAATGGGCAGTATTATAATGCGAGAATAAGAAATCAGCAAAAATATAGTTAATATACTGTGCTAATTAAAAATATACTATTTATTGTAATGAATAATTTGAAAATAGCTTTGTTATAATTATCATTTTAAGTTACTATCACTCTCAAATTAAAAGTTAGTCACATATCAAATAAAACAAAATTAATCTAATAATAAAAGGTACATCAACACATGGCATACTGATAAAATTATTTTAAAAAATACTTAAATTATTGTAAAGATATGGCAGTTCGCCTGACTGCAGCAGACAATGCTGGGTTTGGGTCAGGGGGCTCAGTGAGAAGTTGGACTGAAGTCCAACAGCCATCTTCATTAGACTGGCGAAGAGCTTCCATAGTAGCTTGCACCCTCTGCCCATCCTCAAATGTAGCTGCAGCTCTCACTGGTTCCTTCACCCAGTCCATTTGCTCTTTAACAGGCAAAAATGCCTCCTTCAGTGCACTTATCATCTTGCATAAACCTTTTACATAAGGTTTAGGAACAACACTTGAAGCACAACTCAGATCCTCAACATCTACATAAATAACATCTTCCTTATCATGTCCTCTTTTCCCATCATCATCAATTTTTGTTAAATTTGACTTATGTAATCTGCCATGCAAATCGCCACCTCGAACTACTAAATAGCCTTTTTTACTACATACATAAATCTCTTGATTGAAACATGGGCCAGGTAGATGATTATTAAGTGTAGCTGTGACTAAAAGGCCTTTGTCCATTTGCAATTGGAATGTACAGAAATCTGGTGCAGTAATTTTTCTAATGCCATTTACTTTCAATGTCTCGTCTACAAATGTTCGCAACACGCCTTGTACTTTTACAACCTTTTGTCCAGTAAGGAATGATACTAAGTCTATGACATGGCTGCCAACCAATGTGAGGGTTCCCCCACCCATTGTATCATCACACAACCAGTTATATGTTTCACCTAGCAGAGATCCCATTTGTACACGCACATCTACAAGTGTCAGCTCGTCAGGGTTGCCCAGGTAACCATCCTGAATATGCTTTCTCATGTGACTGAAGGCTGGCAAGAATCTGAGAGAGTGATTGATAATAGATATAAGGGTTGGATAGTACTGTGCTGCTCTCACCATTTTTAGAGCCTCAGCTTGACAAAGACCTGCAGGTTTATCACAGACTACATGTTTTCCGATTCCGAGAGCTTTCACTGATATTTGAGCGTGGAGATTCGGGGCACAGACTATGAATACCAAATTAACATTTTTTTTTAACAACACGTCGTCTATTTTATTCGTAAAGAAAGGGATCTTGAGTTCTTTCGCTGCTGATTCGGCTTCATGAAGTGTCACTCCCCAAATTGCTTCAACAGCGAACCCCTTCTCCTTCAGGAAAGGCACTAAAACTTTAGCTATAGCGCCTGTTCCAAAGACTCCGATACCAGGTAACATTTTACGTATTATTAATTTACTATTTAAGGAAATACTTCATTATTTCTTTCGAAAACTGTTTATTATTTTCGTTTTTGCAGCAGAAAATGCAATTCGTCATAAAAACAAACCCTTCTTTCGAGGTAGAGATGAGATTAACTGCTATATTCGCATAGCACGCTAAATGCTAAATTTTTATAGCGCGCTATTTAAAGTGCTAAAATTAAAATTTTTAGCAGCTCTAGGTCGTGTGATAATGTAACGAATGGAAAGAAACGTGAAATAGTTGACGTGCGCTACTTGTTAAGTATAGCATCTATGGAATAGTTTACAGTTTTTTGTGGTTA